GTATTGCAGCGATAAAGTCCGTCCTTGGCATTGAATCTGTCCTGCAGTTGTGTGAGCGTGTCGATGGTGTCACCGATGGTCACAATATTGATCACTGTGACTGTGTCGGAAACCGCGACATGAAGTGTCAGTTCTGCCTGAACAAAGCCCAGTGGTGCACACGTCAGGGCAGTGTGAGACTCAGTCTCGGGCTGGGTTTATGGAGCAGCTCTGGACAAGTGGACTGAAGGGGGCGGCACTAGCTGTCCTGCCACCGGCCTGGTGTTTCTAGTAAGGAGAGACAGGAGAAGCTACTCACTGTTTCTCCCACCCTCCTGCAGTCGTTCTTTCCAGCTTTTCTTTTTTCACTTACTTGGCTTTTCTCCAGTCTTTTAACTTGTATTAATGGGTTGGTGAATGTTGAATGACCAGGTTGTAAAATTTAGCCTTTTCTCAACGCCTTAGGATAATGTTCTAAGACAGTTGGTCGCATTTAAAGATCTCCTGGGTGAACACCATTGAAAATATCAAATCGGTGATGCCAGTATATTCTCATCAGTGACCAGCAGAAGTTGTGATTTCTTTGTTTAAAATGCATACTAGGAAATGTGTGTTCTTCTCTTATGGAGACAAGAGGGTGTCCTCTGTGCAGGGGCCATGGGGAACTCTGCTTGATCCCACACGGCTAGGACTAGAAATCCTACGGCTTCCGTCACTCCCTGCCTGCCTCTACTGCTGCTGACCTAGATCTGGGTCCCTCTAAAGTGACACAGTGCTGTGTTTGCTGGCGTGGTGCGGCTGAACTAGAGCTAGAGCGAGACTGGCTGTGGGACGGACGGTGGCCGGCACCTGCACAAGCCGGGCCCTGGAGCCCTCCACTGCCCAGCCCACCCTGCATTCCCCCATGGTCTCCTGACAGCAGCCACATGTATTAAGTGATGCAAAGCAACTCTGTTTCTGCCAAACCTTGATGTTTTAAAAAAATGCCAGAGACACCTGTAGATCTGCACAGCTGCTCTCATCTTCTGGGGAGCCCAGCAAGGAGTGATGCATCTCTGTGCGGTTCTTCAGTTTGCAAGTCATCGGAGCTTGGTTTTCCTTGCCATCTGCAAGCTTCCAGGGCTTTGTTCTGGGCCCTGGGGAGGAACAGTTGTGAATGCAGTGCCCGCTCTCACATCTAGTTCTCATTGGCCGCCACCTTCTCTAGGTCGCTCGCCTCTGGCTCTTTCCTCGCTGTTCCTGTTGTTGTACGTAACCCTGGCGGTAGGTTCTGGGCTTTGTCTCTTCCTTGTAGTGCACTTCGGTTAGGCAGTAAGTAGAACACACTGGTTTGTTACAGCTGTTGCTTTGGTATGGTATTGCGGTTTTGCTTTGTTTTGGGGTAGGATTTTTTTTATTTTGTTTTGGCTTTTTTGAGACAGGTTCTCACTGTATAGACCAGACTGGCCTCAAACTCATGTTCTTCCTGCCTCACGATCCCAAGTGCTTGGGTTCACAGGTATGTACCACTATACCTGGCACACTGTATTTTTTTAAGAATGACTTGTAGAGAAAAACCCTGTTCTTTTGTGCCTAATACTGTATAGTGATTAATTTGTTTTTGTGCTGTTTTTTGTTGTATTGGGTTTTCTGTGGTTTGATCCTGGTTTTGTTTGTTTGTTTTCTTTTTTACACTATAAGGGATTGAATCCATGGCCTTCACACTGTTCTACGTGTCTGGCTTTTTTATTTTGAAACAGGGTTTCGCTAAGTTGCTAAGTTGCCCAGGCTGTACTTGAACTTGTGATCTTTCTGCCTTGTCCTCCCAGAGTGCTGGGTTACAGGCATATACTTGGTACCATCCTTGCCTTCTCCATTTTTTATAAGGGTTTTTGGGAGTTCCTTTCTGCACTAATGCTGCACTTTAGCTAGCTTATCAACACGTTTGATTGTTGGAGAGGCAGACGAAAAGCAACTATAAATAACTAATTTTTAAACATCTGACTATTCTGGTAGCCACCAAGCAATAAAATCCACACATGATGCTCACTACTTCCCCTCCTTGAACTCACAGCAGTTCAATTTCTCTGCCTTTTGTGCTTGAGAAATAGTTTTGAAGACTTGAAAGTTAATTTTTATAAGCATTTGATATTTTATTAATTTGCATTTTTATTACTCTGCAGATGGTTTCTGAAAAGGCTTTAGACTCTACATTTTTAAAAAATATTTACTCAGAGACAGTGCTAGCAGAGTATAATGTGTGGCAGAATCCGTTTTTCTCTCCCCAAAACTGGCCTTTATGGAGTACTTTTATTGTCTAAAGAAGAATCAATAATAAAAATATAAAAACTCAAGAATATATTTTGTACTGACTTCAGGTTTTTTAAAATCCATTTTGTAAATAGTTAATGTTCAGATATATTAAGTAGCCTGCAGATTTTGATTCTTTAGAGAGTTTGGGTGATGAATAGTTTTGCTTAACCCTTTATTTAAAGATCTGTGCTGCCAGGTGTGGTGGTGCACGCCTGTAATCCCAGCATTCAGGAGGCTGAGGCAGGAGGATTGCTGTGAGTTCAAGGCCAGCCTGGGCTGCACAGTGATTTCCAACCCAGTCTGAACTACACAATGAGTTTTTTTTCTCAAAAAACTGTCTCAAAAATGACCCTCCAAAAAAAGATCTATACTAGGCTCAACTAGCACCAAATTTCTTTTTCATTCATAATCTGTATTTAAAAATAGCAGTCCTTTGTTACCAGAAATAATATGCCTTGGACCAGGGAGTTAGCTCAGTGGTTCTACCACCTGCCTTAAAAGCCCAAGGACCCAAGTTCGATCCCCAGTACCAAAAATAAATAAATAAATAAATAAATAAATAAATAAATAATAATAATAGCTAAATCTTGGAAACAGCCTATATATCCCTCAGCAGATGAATGGACAAAGAAATTGTGATATTTACACACAATGGAATGGTATTCTGCCATAAAGAGAGACTTGAGTCATTTGTAGAAAACAGATGGGCATTGAAACCATAATGTTAAGTGAAATAAATCAGACACACAAGCTGAATATCACACAGTTTCTCTTACATGAGAAACCCAAAATATAAATAAAGAACAAAATAAAAGTTAGTTGATAGAAAGCAGGGAGATCTTTCTCAAATGGGAAAGGAATCGAGAGATGGGGGGGAGAGGAAGAGGATGAAAGGAAAGAATTACGATGTGTTGGGTACCCGGACCAACTCCCCACAAAGAGTGTAGGCATTATGTATTGTAAGCATATACTAAGAAAAAGCCTTTTTAAAAAGAAAGTGCATGACACAGTTTGTAATAGCTAAAACTTGGAAACAGCCTATTTGCCCATCAGTTGGAAACTGGATAAAGATGTGGTTTTTCTATAAAATGGAATATTATTCAGCCATAAAGAATGAGAAAATAGATTCATTCATAGGAAAATGGATACATATTGAAGATACACTCCTAAGTGAAATAAATAAGTCACACATGTGTAAATACTGAATATTCTCTCTGGTGTGAATAAACTGCAATAATACAGAAGATCCTAATAAAATTACTGACATTGTGAAATGGGAAGGAAGGAGCTAAAAGTGTAGGGAAGGTGGGACGGGTAGGGGAAGGGTAATAAGGGAAAAGAAAAAAATGTGAGATAAGAAAAGATGGAAATAAAATGTTTATAGATGGGGAGGGAAGGAGGGGGTGACGGGAGGGCAGGGACAAGTGGAAAAAATGAGAACCAAGACTTGTCATGTAGAGGTACAAGATCCCAACAATGAATGTAACTGTACTGTATCCCTAAAATGTACCAATAAACTCAGTTAAAGCTGGGGGGGGGAAGTTCATGAAAAGAGTGATGCTTATTCTTTCTTCCAGCCCTGCCTGGAGAGTCTGAGCCCAAGTCTGGCCCCCAGTTATTAGAGTAAATGTCCCCTGAGCCATTTGCTGCTCTTTGGTCACATCACCGAGGGCGCCTCTGGAGAGAGTGAGGACATTATTGAGCAGCATAGGCCTCAGTGCAGAGTGCAGTTGTGACCAGAAGTCCCCGGTGGTGCTCACTTCCTGTCGGATAGTGCTCACTTCCTGTTGTGATAGTGCCCGGGGATGTGATGTAGCTCAAGAGTTACACATGTCGGTAATTTAAAACATTTGTTGTTTATTTTACATATTACTGGGATCAAGATTTCCTCGTTTACTGTTTCAAACTGGGTACATCGTGTTTGTTTGATGAATACAGATTCGTATGGCTTGGTGTCTATGTTTATGGGGTACGCAAATAATAATGACCAATAATAACGTGCCAGTCACAGCTTGGGGCTCTTTATTTGTATATATACAGTGGTGCCTTGATTCATCCCTTGTACACTTGAGGGGAAGATGGCTGCTTTTGTGTTTGTGTGGGGAAGGTGGCCACAGTCATGTGTGTCACCCGATGCAGAATTTGGGAACAGAAGCAAAATTTTGCCAAAGGCTTTTGTTTGCGAACCAAATTGTTTGTAGACAGAAGCGTTGGTGCACCGAGGTGTCACTGTATCATAAGCTGATTCGGTGCTCATGAGAACCCGACGGATATTGTCAGCCACCTGTTTCGCAGACCAGGGCATTGGCGCCCAGGAAGGCTAAGATACTTGCCAAGTATTGTGTAGCTGGTAAGAATATAAACTGATCTTTTAATTGAAGCACTGTAAACTGTGGAATTGTCCTCTTCCTGTCATGCTCCTCTGCCCTTCCGGCCCAGCATGCTAAGCTGGTAATAGTCAGGACATAGGAGTTCGGCTGTGTCATCTCTCTTCACTTTTTCATCTGTATGCTCCAATTTCCCTTTCTATACGAAACATTTCTTATACCATTGTTTTCATATTTATGGTAACATCCAATAAGTGCCGTGTAAATTTTTTCTGTAACAAGTTTTAGATGAAGCTTGTTAAAAGAAAAGGTGTCAGAGAAATATAATTGCTGCACGTTTTCATGCAGCTGATGAAAGAGCATGCTGATAGATTTTCTTTCTTTTTTGTCTCCACTTGGTAGAAAAGAGTAGTTGAACAGCTACGGAAGAACCTGATAGTAAAGCAAGAACAACCAGACAAGTTCCAAATACAGCCATTGCCACAATCTGAAAACAAACTACAAACAGCACAGCAGCAACCACTCCAGCAACTACAGCAGCAGCAGCAGCACCACCACCACCACGCCCAGCAGTCAGCTGCACCCTCACCCACCTTGACCGCTTCACAGGTAAAGTGCGTGTGGTGTGGTGCATGCTGTCACGCAGAACTGGGTCCCGTTTTAGCTGTCCTGAGCTCAGTTAGTGCTAGACAAAAGCTTTTCTGGTTTCTTCCCCACCCCCCACAGGAGGAAAGACTGTTACAATGAATGGAACAAAATCAACTTTCCTCCTGTCCAGAGAAGGGAGGAAAGGTAGTCAGTGACAAAAGAAAATCACTTTTGTGCAGTCCAGTGGAATGAAAGTCTTATTTTGAATGTCTGGAATTACTTATTTATACTTGTTCTAAGAGTCTGTGGCACTTGATCTCTTCTGGAATTATTTTTCTGAAATTCTTAGCAATTAGGTGTGGAGCTATTCCAGGTAGAAAAAGACACTCTACTTTTATTCCTGAAAACAGAATATTCATTTTTAAGTCCATAGTCTCAAGAATATGAATCTATTCTAATATACTGATAGAAATCCCAAAAGGGAGCTATGAGCCAGGAATACTGGCACACTCCTATAACCCCAGCACTCAGGAGGCTGAGGCAGGAGGATTGCTGCAAGTTCAGGGTCAGCTTGGACTACATAACAAGTCCAAAGCCAACCTGATCTACGTAGCAAGACCCTGTCTCAAAAAAAGAGGTGGGGGGTAGAGGGAGAAGGGGAGAGGGAGGGGAAGGGGAGGGCACATGTGCTACAGATCAAAACTAGAACTAAGAAGTGGCATCTTAATAAATAATATTCTAACTTGGTTTAGCTCTACAGATGTTTTTACTGAAAAGGACATTTGAACTAGTGTGTAGTGTAAGGGTAGTGAGACAATCAAGTTACACAGAAGGGCATGTGTGGAAATGACATTTAGCCAGGAAAACTCTTTGGGCATAATCTCCACACACTGATGGGATTCATGAACAGAGATTCTCGACGCTCGTGGATCACAGATCCTCTTAAGACTATTCAAAGTTATAGAGCCCCCCCTGTAAAAAATACATATTCACAAATAATACACTTACTATTTTTATGTATTTCAAGGACTGTGGGATCTTCTGAAAACTAAGTGTAGATTCCTCCCACACACCCAGGCCTTCATTGTGTAGAGGAAAAGATTGTATTTTATTCAGCTATTCCTTGTTCACAGACATGTGAACTGGTTTGTGTACATTTTAGAAGTGACAAACAATAGTTAGCATTTAATAGCAGTTACTGTATACCAGCATCTCCTGAGTGCCTTACATGCGTAATGGACACATTTCCTTGCCCTAATTATATGAGGAGACTATTGCGGTCTTTTGTTTATTAGAAGAGGACATGTAAGGCAGGCACAGAGAGGTTAAGTAACTTACCTAAAATCATACAGGCAGTATGTGCTAGAGCTAAGATTTCTGGCTGAAAAAATATTTTCAATATTTTTATTGAATATTCTGGCTGAAAAACCTGTCCACTCATCTCCTCTTCTGTACTGCCATACAGTACCAAAAAGGAAATGCAATCACGGCGGCAAACCAAAGAAGGAAAGATAAAACCTCTGTTGTAAACCAGATATCTGGAGCAGTGGATGGAATTCTTAACCTCGCCTTTAGTCCAAGGCTGTTTGGAAATTAGACATTAGAACTGACTTTTAAAAATCCCCTGACCAAGACTTGTATTGCTTCTGAAAGATTGCTTATAGGATTACTTTTCTTGGAGTTTTAAACAGAGTTGGGTTAAGTTGTTCTCTTTCCAAAGTACAGTTGGATCAGAAAGTATTTCTGTGGAAGGGATGTAGCGGCATTTATTGTGTCCTGCTGCAGAGGTGTTCTCTATTTTAATCCATGGACACTTTTTGTTCAAGTAGTAGTTCGTGTTACACAAGTCAGGAAATATTTATAAAACACTTCTGTAGCCACTTATCTTCTCTGACCCACTGGAGATCTGTGCTGCTTTGGGGTGGTGGACAGTGAGGTGCCCAGTGTTAGCCCTAAAACGTGCTGTGTAGCATCTCTTCTTCTGGAATCCCACCTGACATAATTAATTGATAGAGCTAACCTTTGTTACATGTTGCTTTGTTTAGTGCAGAGATTTAACATTAAAACCTGAAGGATCCTTTGGGTTTTTGTTGTGTCTTTACTGTAAACTGTCCTCCAGTATTGATTGACCACTCTCAGTGTGCTAGGTTCTACTATATAAAGAACAATGATCCTTGCCAAGAATCTGGTACATTATGTTAATTAGTTTTAATCCATTCTGTAGATATTTGTGTCCTTACTGTGTGCAGGTACTTTGCTAGGCAACATGAGGAGTAGATAGAAAAGACAGAGTTTCTGTTTTCCAGAATTTAAAAAAATTAGAAAGGAAGAAGATGCAAACTGCTAACAGGAGTAAAATAAAAGTACCAGTGAAGAGCTGTGAAGATGCCAGAGAACAGAGTGCTGTCCTTTTAATTAGAGGTGTCAGAGAGTACTTCCCAAAGGGGACAGTATTGAGCAGGGTCCTGGCAGATGAGTGGGATTTCAGCGATGGACCAGGGGAAAGAGCATCACAAGTATAGAAATACTGCGAACAAAAATATGGATTCAAAAAAGGAATTGCACAGCTGGGAGTAGCAGGTAGGCTGGTGTGGTTGGAGCATAGATTCCATAAATGGATGAGAGAGGGAGAAAAGGACAGAAAAGCCAGGAAGGGGCTAGCTTGTGGTGGGCACCTTCAGTGCAGGACAAAACCTGGGGGGTTTGGGCAGCTGTAGAAGTAATTAAAGGCTCATCAGGACAAGGACAGATGGGAGATTATGTGTGCCATAATGAGATAGGTAACTTCAGAAAGGAGTAACCATGAAGCAGTGATCAGTGTGGGCCTGGAGGAGATGCTGGTTGGGTGATTAGCATGTACCAAGATGTGGAGGAAGGAATGAAGAAATCTTTTAGCAGAAAAGGGTAAAAACAGTTCCCTTTATGTACAATAAGTCCCCAACTTAACAAATGAGTTCCATTCCGGGAGAACATTTGTAAGTCAGATTCATTTGTATCTGACAAAGTGACTCTTACACAGTACACCTGTGAAAGTTTGCAACTTGAATTTTTGTAAGTTGGGGACTTAACTCCAGTTAATTCCAACTAAATCTTTTATATGTAGTATTTTGAAATTTTTCCAGTCTGTAGAAAAAATGAATAGGACACTTGAGTACAAGCATATCCTTCACCTGTATTCACAAACTATTGTTTTTAATGATAAAATGCAAATGTAAGAGTACGGTTAATAAAACCAAACAGAAAATATACCCTCATAGGCAAAGGGGAAGAAGTCTTATATTTGTGCTTGTTTCAGTGAACAATGGTGAGTTTCCACTCAAAATTAAACACTCTGAAATAAATGTGGAGGTTAGTTAGAACCCTTAATAGCAATCCCTCAAATCTCTGATTGATACATTAAAATGGTTTTACATCAATTCTTCATATTTTGCAGACAAACAGTAAAAACAGCAAAAATAAAAAGATTTCACTGTTGTTGTTATTTGCCATGTATTTCTGTGTTACTTCTACTTGTGAGGTTTAGATTTTGTCGAAATTAAACTGTGGAATAACTACCTTCTCTTGAAGATAATGAGCTTTAGGCAGCATTGACTAGCCAAGGATTAATCACAGCTTCTATATAAGTCATTTTCTTTGTTGTTGGGCACCTTTTCTCTCGTCTGGTGTGTGTGTGTGTGTGTGTGTGTGTGTGTGTGTCTCCTGCCACAACAGTTTAAACATTTCATCATGTTTGGATTTCAAAGTTCTAGATTCCCTTTCTTATCTGAACTCTTTTTCTTTTTTTCTTTTTGGTACCAATCAAACTCAGGACCTTGTGCTTGCAAGGCAAGTGTGGTGCCACTGAGTGAAATCGCAGGCCCTTCTTATCTGAACTATTAACACTCCAGGAATTTGTTTTCTGTTTTCTAAAGTTTGGAATGGAACAGACCCCAGACCAGGAGTAAAATCTTAGTAAGCCTTAACTGAGTGTCAATAAATGGTAGATATATTCTTCAAGAAGTTTCCCTTGAAGCATTTAGTACTAGGTTTTGTGCTTATTTGTGTATCATACAGTTATATCAGTGCTAGAATACATGCTGTGAAGGTAGCCACAATTAAATGTTTATAAAGTAGAATAAAAATGCTAACCTAAGATGTGAGGTTTCAGTATTAGGTGTTAGTGAACATGTTAGGTTTCAGTATTATTTAAGCATTAGGTTAATAGTAAATACTGTAATTCATCTGGGTTTGAGGTTTTATTCCGTATTTTCTAGAATAATCAGTTTAGGATTATTTAAAATATTATTAATGATTTACTTGAACCAAGAGTGTTTCAGCAAAGATTACTCCGAACACTTCTAAAGCAGTAACAACGAGCACAGCAGTTTTTAAGATCCATGTCATTGAATTCTGTTGACCTGAGCTTTATTTCCATAACCTGTGGTAGTAGCAGGATTTAATGCCATCAGGTGTGGTTTGCTCACAACTGCAGAAGTTCTTTGCGTTTAGCCAGGCGTGGTGGCGCAGGGCTGTAACCCCAGTGCTCTGGGAGGCTCAAGCAGAAAGGTCACATGTTCAAGCCCTTCCTGCTCAACTTAGCAACTTAGACTTTGACTCAAAATTTTTAAAAAGGGTCGGGGAGGTAGCAAGCTCAGTGCGTAGGCCTTGGCTTCAGTCATTGGTACCAAAAGAAAAAAGTTCTTGTATTTGAACATTTTGTTGAAAGATAGGGCTAATACCATACTGTGTTTAAAACTCTTATTACAAATAGCTGGTATGGTACAGTCCTTGCTATTTTATTGCTACGATAGTTCTAACAATAAAAAGCTAGTTTAATTTGGTTTTCATCAGTGATAGCAGATGACCTGTGGCCCATTCAAGAAGGCAGTGGCAAAAGGAACGGGCCACTCCTGTGTTGTTGCCTTAGAGAAGATGAATCAAATATTGGGTGATTTTAATCATATCATTCATTAATAGGGATGGCTGATGAGGCTATGATGGGATAAGTTAAGCCATATCACTAAATTTTTTGGTTAAAAGAAAATGTAAAAGGTTGCATTTGTAGCTGAGTACAGTGGTGCACACCTGTAATCCTAGCTACTTGGGAGGCTGAGGCAGAAGGATGGTAAGTTGGAGGCCAGCTTTAACAACTTAGACCCTGTCCTCAAAATGAAAAGGACCAGGAGGAGCTGGGTGTGGTGGAGCATGCCTGCTATTTCAGTACTCTGGAGGCTGAGGCAGGAAAATTGCTGCAAGTTTGAGGCCAGCCTGAGCTATATAGTGAGTTCAAGGCCAGGATGAACTACATAGTGAGACCCTGTCTCCAAAACAACAACAACAACAAAATAATAATAATAATAAAAGGAAAGAAGGCTGGACCCATGGACTGGGAATATATTTCAGTGGTAGAGCACCCTTGGGTTTCATCCCCAGGACTGGGAAAACAAAACGTGTGTGTGTGTGTGTGTGTGTGTGTGCATGTGCATATAAGGAAGAACAAGGAAATAATCACAGCCAGGCAGCTTAGTACATAAGTATTTACATAGACACTGAAATAGAAATCCCCAAGTGAAGTTGCCCCACTTGTGTGCTGCAGGAAGAGGGATTTACTTTTCGCTGCTGTCCAGTAGAACTTCATGTGGTGTTGCAAATGCTCTGTCCCTGCTGTCCAGTTTGGTAGCCACTGGCCACATTTTCAACACTTGAAGTATGGCCTGTGCAAATGAGGAACTGATGTCCTAATTTAATTTAAATTTGAATGGCCACGTGTGGCTAATAGCAACCATTTATGCAATACAAATACAGAAGAAGGAAGAGTGCATATCAGAACCAGCAAATTAGACCAGGTAACTTGTCCTATTCCTGAAATGCCTGCATCGTGAGTGACTAGTAGCACCAGATAGATGTGCGTGCCGGGTCATGAGGCTGTTTCTGTTTTCATGTTTTGTAACTGGCACTTGTAATTATTCTAGTAAAAGAGCTTCAGAGCTGTGTAGCACTTAGGAGGCATCAGTCAAGCCCTCTCCCTTCCGTTCATCCTCTGATCTCCAAGGCTTTTTGAAGCTCAGGTGTTTGTTTCCACCTTGCTACGTTTCCCGAATCTTTGATCACTTCAGCAGTTCTCCAGAGAAAAGATTACAGGGAATGACTCATCCCTTTGGTATCAAGAAGTGGTATTTCCCCTACTAGTTGGTTAATATGTTTCATTATCTGGAGCTGAGGATTTACTGCTTCTGTGGCAGCAATTGTACTAATCCTCATGTGAGTTTCCCTCCTGCCTCTCTGGGATGACACTCAAAAAAATGCAGAGACATTGTCCCTTTCCCTTAGTCTTTGTGTCACAGGAAGCAGACAAATAGAATTCTCTGATGGCTTTCCTATTAGTTAGATTGTAGTAATTAAAGATAGAAATAGAGATGATGTGAACCTCACTGATTTGCAAGTTGTATATAAATTATGTCAAGTAAAGAATTAGAAAAACTAGAAGAAATAAGTATGTTCCTAGTTTGTCTATAAGCCCACTCTATTGTTGGGAACTCTCTGCCCATCCTAATCTCGTCGTTACGTTGAACTTGCCCACTTAGAAGTGAACTAGATATTATCTTTTCCTATAGTAAGAAGTGTGCTCTGTGTATACACACACACACACACACACACACACACACACACACACATATGTTATGTAGAGAAACTCAATTATGAAATTTATTGCTTTGTTTTGTTCTGGAGTTCAGCAGCATATTGTTTAGTGGGATCACATTTCTGTGTCCTAATATCTGTTCTCCATGTCTCCTAGAAGACTGTAACTACAGCTTCTATGATTACCACAAAGACACTACCTCTCGTCTTGAAAGCAGCAACTGCGACCATGCCTGCCTCTGTTGTGGGCCAGAGACCTACCATTGCTATGGTGACCGCCATCAACAGTCAGAAGGCTGTGCTCAGCACTGATGTGCAGAACACACCAGTCAACCTCCAGACGTCTAGTAAGGTCACTGGGCCTGGGGCAGAGGCTGTCCAAATTGTGGCAAAAAACACAGTCACTCTGGTAAGCCAGCAGCTGCTACTTAATTGTGCCCACATGAGAGGGTTCAGGGTATGCATTTGTACAGTATACCCATTTTAGGCCCCTGCCGAGTTTCTTGGTTCTTGTCATTCTTCTGATGTACCATGTTCCCTTTGGGCCTGACAAGGAAATATAGCATTCCTGTCTCCCCAATTAACTACAGAGATGTCCTGACATAGAGATCAAATTCAGTGTATTATCTGCAGTCAAAGTATGGCTTGATTTTCTGAGAAAAGTGTCCTTCACAGAGGCACACACACTGTTTCACTCACCTCTCGCTCCATCCTATCCACCGTCCTTTCTGTGAAGCTTGAGTGTTTAAAGTCTTGTGCTGTATTGCTGCTTTGGGGAAGACTCCTTCCTCCATTGTTGTAGTTCACTACCCCTTCCTTTACACTGAATGCCACCAAGAAGTACTGGTTGTTGCTTGAGGCACTTGGAAAATAGTCAAACTCACAAATTTATATATCTGTAGCCGGATTGTACCAGGAAAAAAATTCCCTTGAAGAAAGGACTTAAACAAGAATTGTTCATGAGATTTCTAGGATTGAGCCATTTTAGAAACTGATGTTACTGCAAACTTGAGGGAACTATATCCAGATAGGATATAAAATTCTCTGAAAATGGTAGCTAAGAGCTCTTGGTGGCTTTTCAGTAATGACCAATAGTGAGTTAAATTGGAGAGCAGCAAAGTGAAGCTTAGCCTCTTACCCAGGAATCCTTAGAGAACCAACCTGATCACTTGGTTACTGAAGGAAAATTCTCTCTGGCAATAAAGCCATTCACTGTTGGGTAAAGCACCTGGCTCAGGAGAAATCCTGTTTAGTCAGGCACAAGTTTAATTTTACTCTGGATGCAGTCTTGGCTTTTAAAATATGTACGTGTAAAATAAAATAAAATAAAATATGTAAGTGCAGGAGTTCTCAGGTGTCAGGGCAAATAGTCTAAGATCGCTGAGCCTGTTGTATGAGAAAACAAGTGTGATTGGTTCAAAGCGTGGTTGGTTTATGGGGCAAAGCATGCAGGTGGGAGGGGAAAAGCCCCGAATGCTGTACTAATTCAGGTGGTTAACTCCACAGTGAAAGCGTAGAGACAGGGTTGTCTGATGCCGTAAAATACTGAAAATAATGTAAGAATGTTTGCCATCCTCACTCTGACTTCTCTTCCTGTTTGTTTAGCAGGTTCAGGCAACGCCTCCTCAGCCCATCAAAGTCCCACAGTTTATACCGCCTCCTAGACTCACTCCACGTCCAAACTTTCTTCCACAGGTGAGCAAACCAAAGAGAAGCTTGCGTGGGTGAGCCGGACAGAAACCCTCCTGGGCGTTTTCAGGACAGCCTGTGTTAAGCAGGCTCACCAGTTCGGCTGTAGTCAGAGCCCAGTTGGCTGCAGATTCTGCTGACCAATTTTTCTCTTCGATAAAGAAGCTTATTTTATCATCATGGTTTGTTAGCAAGTGACCAAAGGCAGAAACGGGGAAGTGAAGGAAAAAGAGTTTCCTAAATGTAAAGCAATCACCATAACAGCGTTATAACTCTGACAAGGTTAACTTGCTGAAAGAACATGCCTGGGAGTGGGGAAAGAATGCAATTACCACTTTTCATTTCTTTCTTGGTTACCAAGAAGAGTGGGGAAGAAAACAACAGCCAAACGAACCAATAGAACTACTCAGTTCTGCTCTGGAAAGTTGTGATATTGAACATCATGCTTAAATGTAAACTTTGCTTTCAAAGGTTCATGGGAGTATCTGCAGAAGGAACTTCTCCCCAGGCCACACAGCTGGCTCTTGTCTATTTTCCTGAGTGTGCTTCTGGCACTTGGGCTGACCCTCACCATTCTCAAGGCCTAATACAAGGCCTGTCCTTGTCTGGAGCTGAGGGATGTTGATTTGCTCAGTAGAAAGGCTGAGAGTTACTCTCTGCAGTCCTGCGTTTCAGGCAGAAGGGAAAGGATTTGAGGGCACACTGGTGCATTTTATGGCCTCTTGGGAGGGGATGGACAGTGAGAGATAACGATGATGTCAGTCACATTTCAGGTGCATCTTTAATGAAACCTTGGGGACTCCGCACTGTGGCTGTATCAGGTGGCTCCCTGCCCTCACCGTCCGAGGCAGTTACAATGCCTGTTGTGCAGTGTACATAGGAGACTGGGAAGACACATGGCCCATTTTTTAGAGTATTAGAGACGGTTTCCTCAAGATTTCATTGAAGTGTTGGCATTCAGTCTGAGATCTAAAAGCCTAGGGAAGTTAGCCTGAAAGAGTTCGCGGGGAGGAACAAAACTCCTCCATAGAAGGCAGAACCTCCAGGTCTGGAGTGAAGAGATGGGCGCAAGTTCAGGAACCGAGAGCTTTGCAGTGGCTGAGCCTGGAGCCTGTGCACCCTTTAAGGCCACACAGCATTTCCAAGCAAGGACTTGACCTGGCCAGACCTACACTTTAGAAATCCCCTCTTGCCCCACGCAAACAATAGGGTAGGATTGGCCAAGATTGTGGGCAGGAAGAGCAAGTAGGGCACTGCTGATGGTAGCTAGGGTTTAGGTACCATGCTAGGCGTGGGCCTTTACATGGCTTGGCTATTCGAGCCCTCGTAATAACCCTATGAAAAGTGCACATTTGTTTTAGGGAACCTTAGGCTTAGTCCATATTTTTCTAACAGAGGGTCATAACCCATTAGTAGGTTGTGAAATCAGTTTAGGAGTTTGATAGTCCATGCCATATGCTTTATAAAGTTTTTGTTTTATCGACATACATCACCACAAGGCCATTTTAAGTTAAGCTAAATTGTCAGGTTCACAAGACTATGATGGGCCACACTTGACATCAGTCTCCTTGTAGATGGTACAGAACAGAAACCAAGCTTTCCTGGAAGATGGCGTCAGGCATCTTTCTTCCGTAGGAGTTCCCATAGCAGCCCTCTCAGCAGTCTCTGTAACATCCAGGGACCCCTCGGGTTCCAGGAAATGAAATCTTTATCCAGGATGGTGGGAGAGTCACTCATCCACAGAAGCCTTGTGCATTCTGAACCTGATGTATATCATGACCGGTCTTTAAGCATGACATTTAGGATCTTCACAACGGGCATGCCCAAGTTACAGCACTCACCTCTCTTAGGGAAGCCTGAAGCATTGTGTCCGGTCAAGCTTTTAGGGTTCTCCCCATTCAGATTCAATTTAGTGACCTCCTGTTGACTTGGCAATAAGAAGTTTTTATCATGTGTACCTGGTAATATTCTTAACCTTTACTGGGTTCCTGGGCGAAAAGAGCTAGAAAGTTAGCCAAGGATCGAATTCTCATACATAAGCAAAAGGATTTTACCCATAGAGTCACAGATCAGATAGGTTGCCTGAGGTTACATGTTAATAAGTGTTAGAAACAGGGTTTTTGAACCTAGGCAAGACTGACACCATTTTTGTTTGTTTTTGTTTTTGTTTTTGAGAGGGCAAGTAGTCTCTGTGTAGTCTAGCCCTTGAATTTGCTATGTAGCTCAGGCTGTCCTGGAACTTTCAAATCTCCTTCCTCAGCCTCTCAAGTGCTGAGATTACAGGCATATACTACCATTCCCAGCTTTGATCCCAAGTGTCTGAACATACTTGTTTGGTTGTAGGTTTTATAAGGGGGAGGGGTTGCCATTGTAGCATTGCTGGGAATTAAACCCAGTCCACTATCCCCAGCTGAGTATTATTCATCATGGTTTCAGTAATCCAAACATAAGCTAGTATAGTAGTGATGAGGATAGAATGAAATAGATCTGAAAAGTATAGAAAATAGAGGTGGAGAGCTGGGCCTGGGGGTTGCACGCCCATAATCCTAGTACTTGGGAGGCTGAGGCAGGAGGATCACCATGAGTTTGCAGCCAGCCTGGAATACACACTGAGTTCAAGGCCAGTCTGAACTAAATAGTGAGACCCTGTCTCAAAAACCAAAAGGAGGGGCCGGGATTTAGCCCAGTGGTTCCACTGCCTGCCTCACAAGCACAAAGTCCCGAGTTTGAGCCCTGGTACCAAAAAAGAAAAGACAAAAAAGAGAAGAGAGAAGGGAAGGGAATGGAAAGGAA